CTGTGACGCAGTATCTTCTATCGAGCGGCTTCTTTCCCACGCTCGAAGAACAGTCTTTGGTAAACAGGACTCAACAAGTAGCTCTAAAAATTCTGAAAATTTTTCCTTAGTTGTACAGAGGCTTTCGAGTACTATAAGCTTGCTCTCAAGTAATTCATAAAGTTCAGCTAAATCCTCTTTAATCCGACCAGCAGCATTTTTCATTACTATGGAAAGTAGATCCCGTACATAAATCCGAACCAAACGTTCTTCTCTCCCGAAGCGTTCTTTAAGTTGTGCAATCACCTTTGAATAGTTTTCTTTAGTTGGCGGAAAACTTGTTACCAGTCTTGACGCTTTAGAATCTGCTACCACACATTGTAAAGATATTGAAATTTATCTTCATCGACAATGGAGAGGTCGTTGTGAATTTTTTTCAAACTGGGACCAAAAGAGCAAGAAAGTCTTTCGGTTCTTCACTAAATTTCCTCAATTCAAGTTTCGGAAGCTTGAATTTCCTTTTTTGCTCGGTTGTTGTTCCTTCCATAACTGAATTTGCCCTTCTTTGCATTTTCTAGCATATCGAACAAATTAAGCAGAACTTGTCTCGGTATTCTTCTGCTTTCAAAAAAATCCTCGGAATATTCTATTAAAGTATGTTAATAAAAATAATAATAATATAATATATAGTTTAGATAAGTTCTGGCAACAGTGAGTGTTTCGTCATCAGGATCGTGCTTCTTCGCGATACTGTCGTTCGAAAGAATTGCTATAGTTTGTAATTCCAATAAAAGCAATCGTATTTTTGCTCTGCTATTTGTTTTTCTCTTTATTTTAGAAATAATACCTTTTTAGTTATGTTTATTTTTAAGAAATACTTTTTTTAGGTTAGGGTGGGTCAAGCAACTCCCATATTGCGTCAAATGTTTTGAATTGATGTTTTTGTCGAAGAAACGGAACTCGTTAAGCCTAATCAAGTAAGTGTTTTGTTTTCGTTTATAGCAATCGAAAGTTGTTTAGAAATCAAAGTATGGAATTATCTAAGGTCCAAGTAAGCCTTTATCAGGTGAAAGCGATTGGCTTATATGGAAATACAGATAAAATAAAATTTGTTTTAAATTATCATCCTGGTGCTTTAGAAATTGTAGAAGGAACTATAGTGAAACCAGAAGTTCTTCCTGTAGATGCTCCGATTGCTCAACAAGAGAAATATAATGAAGCTGTTAAGAAGTTTCAAAATGCAAACACTAGTGCTATGATGGTATTAACGAATTCCATGACGGAAGAAACTCTCAAAAATGCAAAAAGTTATGAGATTTCAGACTGCTAGAGAAGTGTGGTTGGAATTACATAAGTTATTTTGAAGCATCATCAGAAAATCAATTGTATAATATATGCATGCAATTTTTCAATTCAAGTGGAATGAAAAATATAATATGGCGGCTCATCTTTCCAATTAAAAAACTTATGGAATGAGTTGAATTCAGGACTTGAAAAGAAAATGAAATAAGTTACCTGACATGCTACTCAATTGCAAGATTTTAGATGTCTTACCAGAACAACTAATACTAATATAATAATTATCAAGGAAACATCTGCTGTTGTAAATATGTTACAACACATGCTTGCACACGCTAAAATTTTAGGACATCCAGTCAAAGAATTTCTCAGCGATAATGGAGGCGAGTTTGACAATGACAAAGTGCGTGCTATTTTGCATTCTGAAGGTATAACTCAAAGACTAACAGCACCTTATTCTCCTGAACAAAATGGCTCTAGTGAAAGAGACATACGTACAATGATCGAAATGGCAAGAACATTTAAGTACTCAAATTCTGAAGCTCATTTTCCTGCAGCAATGTGGGCTGAACTAGTCAACACTGCCATATATGTACTAAACAGACTGGCAAATCATCAGTGGAAGGCATGAGTCCTTATGAGCTATGGTTTAAAAAGAAACCTCGAATTAAGCATCTTCGTATAGTAGGATCTGTGTGCTATTCCCATATTCCCTAAACAAAGAAGAAGGAAAATGGATATAAGGCTACAAAAGCTTATTAATTGGTTATGATGGAGACGAAAGATACCGACTATGGATCAAAGAAAACCATAGTGTGATCTGTTCAGGGATGTTACATTTAACGAAAAGCTCACAGATTGTGAAGAAGGGTGCAGTTACCTATTCAAGATCAAGATAGCCTAATTTCTGGCTCTGAACATCAACAAATTCAGAAAAAGATAAGTCAGAAAAGTTTCTTTCTGAAGAAGATAATTCAGAAAAGAATACACACAAGAAATATCTGGAAATATATCAGAAGAACATTCTGAAAGAGAAGAATGTGAAGATATTAATTTGCAAAATAATGCACAGTCAAGATTCCTAAGAGATAGAGCTGACTTGAGAAAGCCAAAGCGTTTAGAAGATTATATAATGATAAGTGAAGCTTTTATTATTGATTCTGAAGAACCTGAATCTTATGAAGAAGCGATCAACTGTAAGCAAAGTGTTAATTGGAAAGAAGCTATGGATTCAGAGATGAAATCATTGATAGAAAATGAAACATGGAGTTTAGAAAAATTACCAAAAGATGCTAAAGCTATACCATGCAAGTGGGTTTATAAGATCAAAAGAAATCCTGATGGATCTATTGATAAATTCAAGGCTAGACTTGTTGCCAAAGGATGTACTCAACGTTTTGGAGTTGATTATGATCAAACGTTTAGTCCAGTAACAAAGTTAGGAACTATTCGTTCAGTTTTGAGCATCGCAGCCAATGAGAAAATGCATCTTTCTCAGTTTGATGTCGGTTCAGCATTTTTATATGGAAAACTTGAAGAATCTCTATATATGCAGCAACCAGAAGGATATAGTGACGGTTCGAAGAAAGTCTGTAAGTTGAAACGCAGTTTGTATGGACTTAAACAATCATCACGCTGCTGGAATAAATATTTTGGAGATTTTGTGTCACAGCTGGGCTTCAAGACAAGTGAAGCTGATCCATGCTTATATATAAGAAACAATAACGGCAAGAAGCTAATCGTATGTTTATATGTAGATGATGGTTTAGTAGCATCAACAGATCTACAAGAATCTGAAAAATTTCTCAGAGAAATTGAAGTCGAGATTCAGAATCACAACTAAACCAGCAGTATACTTTCTTGGACTTGAAATTAAACATCTTGAAGATGGAAGTATTAAAAATTAGTCAGCAAAGCTTATGCAAGAAAAATTCTTCAAAAATTTGGGATGGAAGATTGCAAGCCAGTGTCAACTCCTATCCTGAAGGAAGGTCTAACTGAAAAGAAAAAAGGAAGATAAAAATCAAACAGAGAATTTTTTCCGTATAGAGAAGCTGTAGGAGCTTTTTAATGTATCTTATGTTAGGCACAAGACCAGATTTAGCTTACTGTGTTGGCATTCTATCACGTTACCTAGAAAATCCTTCGAAAGATGATTGGAAAAAAGTGAAACGTGTATTCAGATACATAGCAGGTTCTCTAACTAAAGGTGTTACATACAAGAAATACAAGGTACAATACCAGGAATACTGGAATGCCTATAGTGAATGCAGATTTTGGAAGGCTGTCAAGAAACAGGAAAATCTACATGAGTGGAGCAGAGATATGATATAGTAGTGGAGCTATATATCATGGATTAGCCAAAGGCACAGTCAGTTGTTGCAACTTCGACGAACTGAAGCAGAAGTAATTGCAGCTAGTGAATGTTCTACAGAAGTAATTTGGTTAAAGCGAATTATTTAGTGGATGTTACCAAGTTATATGAAAGTTCCAGTAATTCAAGTAGACAACGCCGCTGCAGTGAAGACTTGTCACAAAATCCGGAGTTTCCATCGAACATACAAAACAAACATTGATATCAAGCAATTTTTCATACGAGAGAAAGTTCTAGAAAAGGAAATCATTGTGCAGCAGGTACCTACAGAAGGCGCAAGTTGCTGACATAATGACTAAACCTTCTATTTAAACTTACCGAGACTGTTGATTCTTTGTGACAAGATGGGACTTTTGTGACTCTTTCCCTTTAATTTATTATTATTTTTTTTTTTTTACAAGGGGAAGTATTAAAGTATGTTTAATAAAAATAATGATAATATAATATATAGTTTAGATAAGTTCTGGCAACAGTGAGTGTTGTCGTCATCAGGAGATCGTGCTTCGCGATACTGTCGTTCGAAAGAATTGCTATAGTTTGTAATTCCAATAAAAGCATCGTATTTTTGCTCTGCTATTTGTTTTTCTCTTTATTTTTAGAAATACCTTTTTAGGTTATGTATTTTTAAGAAATACTTTTTTTATATTCGTCTTAAAGGGTATCATCATTTAGCAACAAATTCGAAACTTTTCTTGAGTTGTTTACAAACGTGTGAATTTGTCCTGAATCTGTTTAAACAACGTACTGACTTCGTCTCTCCCTAAACTTTTGTTTTCGATCTGCTGAGCAATATCGTTGGAGCATACCGTAAATGCTGTTCCCTGCGACTTTTTTTTCTTTCAAGACTTTTATATCGATATTTCATTCAAAAATATGAACGCCACATTTTCTATATTGCAACTCTCAGGGCTAAAACGTGCAGGTTACAAATTAAATAATCACAGCAGGGATTATTAATATAAAGATTTTAATATGGATATCTCACACAAGACTAAAACGTTACATTACTCTAACTATTGCATACATATAACTAAATGAAAAGGGAATTTCCCCGCTTAGTTTGCAGTTAAAGAAAAAATAAGAATAATAAAAAATAGTCCAATCAAAAGCTGCGCTCCTTCTGTCGACTTCGTCCAGCCGTTACGTAATCGTCTGTCTACAGCAGCCGTCTCCAACACTGATAGCTGACTGGTTGGAAACGAACAACTTGCAATTTTTTTTGGAAAGGAAGGAAAAAATCGCGCGCCTTTTTTTTTTTTTTTTTTTTTTTTTTTTTGAATAGTAAACCAGGCATAAAAACTGTCCGAAACAGTTGTTATGAAACAAATGCATGTGTGATATGGGCCTTAAAGAAAACTTGAACAGCTATTTATTATACAAGTGTGACACAATGGGGGCCTTCAATGAAATTAATTGAAGAAAAGTTTTACATATTAAATGGAAAAACTGTATTAAATACGAATATTTACAAGTGGTTTATAAGTAATCCGGCCCGTTCCGCTATATCAATGATTTCGCTAGAAAAAAGTCAACAGTCATATATACCATACATACCGGGGAAAAAAACAGCCTACTCAACTTCATGTATCTGGTAGGAAAGCCATGTGATTTTGTTTACATCAGCGTAGTATGAGATTCTTTCAGGGTTTAAGAATTTGTTCATGATTGCTATTTTATTTAAAATTGGCTGATTTAAACGAATAAAGTGCTGAAAAAATCGAAATCATAATGGATGGAATTAATATAGGCGATAAGTAAGTAAAACACAATTTTATTGAAATTTAGTTTCCTAAACATAGCTGCAGTACATAGCACTGCTCAAATATATATATATAAACATAGCACTGCTCAAAAAAAAAAAAAAGGGACAGTCCTATATCTCCCGATCTACTGGGCCGATTGACAAAATTCAAATTGCGTTCTTCATGTCTCGAAAGCGCGACTTAGGATATATATTAGATTTATATATAGCACTATTCTAACATAGGTATTTTGACACAAAATCGGACTTTTTCTGAAATAACATACCTATTTTTGGTTGATCTGTACATTATGGTAACTTGGCGTTTTTTTGGCGAAAATTTGGCGACCAACTCTCCTACAGCAACCCTCTATTTTTTTTTTTTTTCCAACCGCCATTTTGTCTTCACGAAGTAAAGACATGTTTCTTTTCTTTTTATCTACTGAACACTTCTTCCAACAATCTACTAGCCGAATTACACTTATGCTAGAAGTTTTATCTAACAAAACTGCTTAATCATGACAAATATTCACTGCAAAATTGGGAAAAAGTGCACAATAACCATACTCCTTACGCGTTTTTCAAATAAACATACACATAAACCATGTACACGCCGACTTATTTTTACTTAAAAAAACATCCCAGAATTGCACAAAATGGCATTGCGCACACTCTTCACTATATCCATGTACACTGCTTTTTTTCTCATAAATTAGAAAAATTTCATGAAAATACATGACAATTTTCTCAATCTTTAAACCCGGTAAAAAGACATATATGAAATTACCTGATCGCGAAAAAGTATTTACCCTTTCCAAATATGAACATTTCCACATATAAAATAAATAAAATATCCAAAACTTTTACCTCTAAATCATCTATTACATTATACACGTCACCAAACGAATTCATACCGCAAGCATTACAAATTTAGTATCAAATTTAAATTATTTGCATGCACGTTTACTTCAACTAAACGTATAACCAAATTCCTACAAACATAAATTCACAAAAACTATCATTTAATTAAATTCAAAACACTACTTAAAATATAAATGCACATACATTAAATTAATAAAATTACCTTACAATCCTAATTACTTTAAACTAAATCATTGCTAATAACAATTTTCCAATAATACCAAATTCCTTTACTTCCACCTTACATTTAGAACAATGCATAAAAATAATATCCTCAAATAATTAAAAATACTAACTTACCTAATCTTCTTCAGAATCTTGATTACGTGTCCGATAAACTTTTCTTTAGTTACGGCCATGGGATCCAAAAATTCACGAACACTGTTTCACACAACATAGAATAAACCAAATACAAAATTTCCAGATTTTTTCCCGATTTCCCCCTTTTCCGATTAAAGAACCGTAATTCGTCCATTAATATCACATGACATATCCCATGATCTCTCATTTCCCTCACACAAAATAATGCGTAATCGGAACTGAGTACTGCTCACATTATTACCAAAGTCCCAGGTAGTAACCTTTATCGCCTCCAAAATGTCGCCAAACTACCAGTTACCATATTGTAAAGATCAACCCAATTGTTTTACATATTTTGATTATACGACTCAAATTATGCCTAAATATGAAATTTTGTAAAATTTGGAGCGAAATTTACGGAGAAATTCACAAATTTATGTTGGCACTTTTTTGTCAGTTTGCGCCAAGAATACTTTACTTGGCGAACTTCTTAATATATGGCAACCTAGTTTCCTTTCCCGTGAGAGGTAAAAAAGTCACCGTTCCTTTTTTCAAATAATATTCTTTATATTATATTTTTAATTATAACTTATTATTTTAAGTAATTTTTTTCTTTTTCGAATTTCATTTTAATTGTTTAAGTTGCACTTTTTTTTTTTTTTTTTTTTTCGAATAACTGTTTAAAAATTCTATTTACCTATTCGAACAGCATAATAAAGGTGCAGCGTTTATTTTTTTTTTTCAATAGTTTTCTTTATATATATTTTTCGTCATAATTATTATTTTAGGTCATTTTTTAAATTTTTATACTTTTTATTTTAATTGTTTGTGTTGAATTGTCTCTTCAGATAATTGTTTTAAAATTTCTATTTATTCCTTCGAACTGAGCATTTAAATATATTTATTAATATCAATTTTCCAGAATTTGATTTTATTTATTTGAACTGTGTTCTTTCGGAAGAATACTTGTAACCCAGACTACGATGCGTTTGAAAACTGCGTACTATATTAAAAGAGAAAATACAGTAAAGTACAGTTTTACACGCCTTTCAATGTTCCGTTCAGAAAAAAATATATATAAATAAGAGAGATGTAAAACTGATATTTTGACTTAGGATGACTTGCATACACTGCTTTAAACAGTTTTATCATTGTGCCATTGCTTTACACAATTTTATCCTACATTTGGTTTCTTAAAATGTTATTCATATTTTAGTCAAATATTTTATTTTTGAAATCGCAAGAATCAAATTCATAAGATTGAAAAGTTTTAAATTTAAAAAAATACGAATATTAAATTTTACGAAAAAATTATTTTTTCTTCTCTTTTTCTTTAAGCATTCTGAAAGTATATTGAAAAGTATCCAACTTTCGAAACATTTTGGTATTTCTGACAATCATTTTTAAATAAAGTTATCGCCTTCCATTTCATAAAGGCCCACAAACGGCCGAGCGGTAAAGTTGCTAAACACTGGTAGTTCACTCCGGGTTCGACACCCCGGTAAACGGGCTGGTTGCATGGGCGTTTTTGTGGATTTTCTCATGTGTACCGCGTTATGACAGCTGGTTTCCCTTGGAAAGTTGTTCATGAAGTATTTCGTCAGAGCCTTTATCAGTCTTTAGAGGCTCTAAAACATTTGAAGGTATGAGATGAAAGGAAAGACTGGTTTCATCATCAAAGGTTTTGGTTTATTTTATATGACAAAGCACACTACGGCTATCTGCCTAAGGGGAGGGATGCCTTCCTGGAGGACTTTCTAAGGGAAACTGGCTCGCATACACGTTACACATGGGGAAAACCACGAAAACGCCCATGCAGCCAGCCCGTTCGCGGGATTCAAACCTCGGACCAAACTACCAGTGTTCGGTGACTTTACCGCTCGGCCGCTGTTTCATCAGGAAGGGAAAAAAAACATCTTTAGGTGACATCCACATACATCACTGGATAAACTCCTGAATCTTCAAATAATTCGACTGAGAAAATCATAGGATTCACCATTTATGATATGATATGATGTTCTATAACGTAATTTACACAACCATATAGTCTAAAACCAGTCGCTCTTCACTTTAATCTGCAATGATATCATTTTGTTTTTTCTGTTAACACAAGCTCAATTGATGGTATTTGCTGGTGTACACGTCTAAGTGTTTTCTCTTTGAACACCTAAATTCTTTGAAGTATCCTGAAAGTATATTCGAAAGCGTCCAACTTTTTGAACATCTTGGTATGTCTGACAGCCAAATTTCCCTGCAAATTTTTGCTTACTTTTCTCCCTAATTTTCTTCTTTCCTTCTACAGTTATTTTCAGTGCTCACACAAGAAAATTAAGATTCTTCCTGTCACATTTAATGCCCACCAGCAGCTGAGCAGTAAAGTCGCTGAACACTGGTAGTTCGGTCCAAGGTTCGAGTCCTGCGAACGGGCTGGCTGCATGGGTGTTTTCGTGGTTTTCCCCATGTGTAACGTGTATGCGAGCCAGTTTCCCTTAGAAAGTCCTCCACGAAGGCATCCCTCCCTTTAGGCAGATAGCCCTCATGTGCTTTGCCATAATTAAATAATCCAATCCAATCCTTAATTAAATATAATTGATTTGTAAATTCTACTAGAGCTGACGGTAAGATTTGAAGTGGAAATAAGTAATATGGTGTGTAATCTTGATTATATAAAATTAAAAATATTTGCATAGAAAAATGTTTGCATTCAGACAGAAAGTTTTTTGAAATATTTGCAATTACTTTATAGAAGGATTTATTAATAACCATATAATTACTATTATATTACTGATGATTAGGATTCAGTTCTGACAATTACTTCTAAATTAGAATTTTAAGGATATAAGAAAATACGCTACGCACAAAAATACATTTTAGGAAAAATGAGTGATTTTTTATGTTTTAAAACTTCTTAAATTCATTTGTAAAATCCGTATCCTCGTAGTTAATTGAATCCAGAATGTTGTGGGTCGTTTATATAATTATTCTTACTTGTCCACAGAAGCTCCTGACTTATCCAACCATTAAGTAGCTGCAGATCATTTCTACATAAACACTGAACTTCCACTAATTCAGTCTCTAGAGGGTTGTATGTTTATATCATAATTTGAGTTATATAAATGATTATTCTAAATCTTATGCTTCTATAAAAATATACTGTGGTTTAAAAATATGGATCATAGTATCAGCCGCTCTTTCAGCCACTTCAAAAGCAACAGTTTGTTTAGAAATAAATTGTGCAGTTAATGTCATAAAATTCAAATAAATATCAAACGAAAATTCTCAGTTTTAGACAATTCGATTTAAACGAAGTAAAGTAGCAGACGATAAAACGTCGAAGGTAAAAATTTACTCTTACAAAAACTTACTCTTAATTTTTTTAAAAAATGAAAAGATACGAGGGAAAAAATGTCATATAATTAATTCTTCGTAAAATTTTACTTGAAGTTAAGGTTAAAATAGCTGTGGCAATTTAGTGTAACAAAAATCCATAGACCACATTTGGCGTTATTATCGCTCAAAAAAAGGTGCCAAATTTCAAACGCGAAAATTAAATTCGTGCATATTTAGAAAATTTGATAAAAAATCTAATTTTGAAGATATTCTTAAAAATACCCTACTTTAAGATGATGGTAAAAATTTTATAGTTAAATTCAAATTTTTTTCGAAAATCTATAGAAATTATTTAAAATAGAAATTTAAAAAATAAACGCAAAAATTGGGTAAATTTATTTGGAATGAACCAAAATTTTGAAATGTGAGAGAAAAAATCAAAAAAGTTTAATAAAAAAAGAG